AAACTGCTTTGTGCCAGGCTTTCTGACACTTCTTCAAATGAAGGAAGAGGGGAAGGGGAAACCAATCACTGGCTCTGACCTTCTGATAGTTTCCTGTGTTGACAACACTCATGCTTTCTTTGATAGATACTTCAGGATCTCTACCACAGGGTCAGAGCTCCAATTATATATAACAACACAGCATTAACTCCTAAAATAGAAACACGATATCTTGAAGAGGTCCTTAAGCCTTCTGCAAGTTATGAATGGACATCTCCTATAACATTTTATGCTAAAAAAAACCCACATTTTTTTCTGCATGAAAATCGGGTTTGAAATTACTGAATTTCCTGCTACAACTAAAAATAACTGATAAAGAATGGATGCAGAGAATAATACCCTGTGATGATAGAAAGCCTATAGTGCTGCACATGCAGATACACTCAAACACAAGCACATACACGTGCACACACCTACACCCCCACACAGTGATGCTCATGCCAAACTCTCTGGCATTAGAGCTCCTTCTCCTTTCCCCATCCCTTCCCCTTTGCACCTCATTCCTTAAGATGCTCCTCAAGCACTGTGTCTTTTGAGTCTTCTGTTCCCCAAGTGGATACTCTATTGCCTCCTCTCTGTGCTGCCTCCTGCTCTGTGGCTCTCTCCATCCTCGTCAGCATTCTACCCCCAAGGACCACTTTCGGTAGGACCAGCCTTCATATTTAGTGATCCTGGCTCACAGTGACTCTCTGATAGATTCCCTAAAATAGGGTTGGGTCTTATATCTCCCCACATTCCTGGCATCTAGAAAGTATATTCTTATCACATAGCTAGAGATTTACATTTGTTTTGGAGAGAGAGAAAAAAAGGAGTTCAACGTGAAACAGACATAAGAAGCTTTCAGAGTTCACTTGACAAAAGAACCCCCTTGGCTAAGATTCATGCCAGACTTTGAAGGGTGGTCTGAAGTGGATTTGCGTGGTAGAATCCACTTCCTACTCTACCTTCACCCTACCTGCCTCCCATTACACCTCTATTTACCAGGTAACTCAGTAGCTAGGGTCTCATTTTTTTTAGCTCCTCCTCCACCACCTGGCATGTAGACACACATCAAGATTGCACATGATTTTCTCATTTAACATTTTCTCCAGAGGTAGCTTTGCTCTGAATGTAATATATTTTAAGTCCCTGGATTATCCTCAAATCAGGATCTCACACACCAGCTCTTATCTGAGCACATTCCACCCTCATCCCCAGACATTTTTCATTGCTTGGGGATCACCTCCACAAGTGCACCCCTCTAGTATCCCAGATTCTAGCTGCTCAAAACAAGTGCCATGGTGGCTTCTTAAGACCTACTGTATAGTCCCCGTCTGCTCCTCCCTATTCTGCTCCTATTTCTTCCTGCATTGACTGGTGTAACACTATGCTTTAAAATCACCCTGGGCTTGAAAACCTAGCAACGCATAATTACTCTCCTTCCTCCAAATCCCATCTCTTTCTCAGGACCTGTCTTTCGAGTCCCATTAGAATCTCTCCTACAACATCAGATCTAAAAGAGAAAGTGGATGCTCTTCTCATGACCCACAGAGGAGCTTCTGCTATGGTCATTTGTATACTCATGTTGTCCACCGTGGGGGGTTAGGGAGGGACCAAGCTGCTGTTGCCTTCAGCCTTCTCTGACACTTATGTTTCCCCTCCATGCTGCTGAGTCACATCTCCTAGATTCCCTCTCTGATCCTCCCACCCCCAAGAGTCCATCTACCCTCCTACCCTTCTAGATGGTGGCTCCAATGCAGTTGCCTTTGGAAAGCCTCCTGCCATGAGTGACACCTGCCACAGAAAACCTGTCAAAGCGCCACCCAAATGAAGCTTGTGGGGTGCTACTGCCACCTAGTGGTAATATCTTTTTCTTTAACATCATAACTTGAACTCACTACAAGAATGATTGAATACGCAGAGTAAGGAGGACAGACGGGTCAGTGATTGTTGTGATGTATTGAGTGTGGCTGTAATTAAATGTTGATATCACTGTGACATGAGGAAATAATTTTGTTGTAAAAGGCAGCAGAGAATGCTTCTCAAAGAGTGAATAATATTATGTTTTGGCTATGAGGATAGTGAGGCATAGCAAAGAAAGACCTAACCTGCCTGGCATGAGGGGAAGGGAAGAAAAATGGAGACAAAAGAAAGGAATAAGGGGACGCTGAGCAGAACAGCAACAGGGTAAAGGTTGAAGAGAAATGTCAGCCAGTGAGAAATGAATAATGATGGGGTGGCCAAAGAACTCACAACAGGGATTTCTAATATTCCATTTTATAAAGTTTGGTCTGGGCTTCTGAGATAAATTGCCATCACCCATTATATCTATATATTTATTAAAGCTTGATGCAGGTAATATTGGGTGAATTCATACACCCATTAGGCTAGTGTGGAAATGAGAGGACAGAATAGAGATAAATCAGAAGTAAAATTTTTCCTTTTTTTCAGTTTTGGAGGTTTTCAATTTTTTAAAATATTTTTTTCAGAAGTGAAATTTTGAAGAGAAATCAGATGAAAATGTGGCCACAAGAACTCAGGTGCCTTGGATGGGGAGAAGATAATATTTCAGACAAAAGGTATCTTACAAGCTAACGTATATAGGGAGCATCTTATATAGAAGGTGGCATATAGAGAGCATTTAAAACAGATAAAATAACTTAAAAAGAGCAAAGGGAAGTCCTGAAGGATGGAGGGTAGGTCAGCACCAGAGATCAATGCTAAGGATGTAGATCTGTAATCTAAAATGATGACAATGTGCTATAACTGTTATGTGGCAAGGTGACATGTTTCAATTTTTCTTTTATAATATATCACTCTAGGAACTTGTGTGGATAAGAGATGAGGGAGCAATAATGGGGCACAAATGTACATATAGAGAGATAGACCGTAGATGATAGATAGATAGATAGATAATCATGAGCTCTTCTGTTGATAAACAAGTTTGAGACCCCCAAGGTACAGTTTCCATTGTGCCTGAAGTTAGTTTTAACCCAAACATAATTCCCACACACATTTCAAATCCTAACATTTTAAATCCAAAAATTTGATTTCTTCCATGATATATTGGTCAAGAAAGGAACCAGCAAGGGAGGGGATGATCCATGGTATTAAAGGCTGCCCAGAGAACAGGGGAAGAAAAGGACCTCACATGTGCTAGGCAAGTGCTCCACCACTGAGCCACACCCCAGCTTCTCCCGAGGGAAAATTCTTTTGGAGAAGGTGGTAGAGCAGAGGAAGAGTGGAAGTATATGACTCTGTTCATGAAAGATAAAGACGAATATTCAAGTTTAGCACTGTAGTAGTAAGTAGTATTTAAAATCATAGTCCCCCATTTTATCTGGTGGATTGTTGTTGTTGTTTATTTGGTACCAGGGATTGAACTCAGTGGCACTCAACCACTGAGCAACATCCTCTGTCCTTTTTTCTATTTTATTTAGAGACAGGATCTCACTGAGTTGCTGAGGCTGCCTTTGAACTCACGATCCTCCTGCCTCAGCCTCTTGAGCTGCTAGAATTACAGGCTTGTGCCACGGCACTCAGCCATTTTATCTGTTTTTGACTTATTTTCATTTACTCTGGGTTCCCTTGGGGACGAAGGTTCCTTTCTGAATCCTTTCCCCATTTTCATCTTTTAATAATTTCTTCTATTTTTCAGCATTTACCAAAAAGGCTACTTATCAGTCCTGGGAATGCAGTGGCAGTAAAGGTGAGAAACAGAAGCTGCACATTGAGCTCTTCCAAAGAAAAGCACTTTAGAAATCAAAGCTATTGCTAAATTGTTAGGGTTCTCTCCTTTTCCTGAAAGCTTGGCGTGACATTATCTCTGATCCTCAGAAAGAAGTCTTTTGATTCAGTCATTATACTAATAATCTGTGACTCTAAAAATAGGATTGAATATCTAAATTGATCAGCAAAGCCCAATAATCTCTTTTTCCTCATTCTAATGTTATGGATGTAAACCAGGAACCAAAAATAGGAGCGTTGTAAGTCATTTCATCTTTCATATAAATCGCATCCAGCAATGCATAAATTGGGAGAGCTTAGAGCTAAGCACTGACATTTTTGTGCAAACAGAGATCCACAAACTCAACAGGCATTGAAGCATGAGAGGCTAACTCATGAATAATCCTTGCATACTTTTACAGTTATATAACCAGTTTCCTATTATAGTGATAATTTACATTAATATTGGGAGAATGAATAGAGGACAAAAATAAGAAGTTATTTTGGAAATAAGTAATAAATATTTCTAAGGAAAAGTGCCAGCAATTGTCTATCAAGACAAAATCGGATGGATCTTATAAGACTTAAAAAAAAAATTTGTCACTAGCAGAACACTTAGTTCACATTTTCCCACTTGGGTAGCTCCATGAAAGATGTCACCCATAGAGAAATGTCTAATAATAGTGTGAGGGGAAGGGACATTTTAAACTAAAAATATAATCTATACTTAGTAGTTCATATAACTAGAAGTCAATGCAGTTGAACCAGTTTAAAAAGAAAATATTTTAACTGATTCCAAACTGCAGCTGCTCAACATGTTCAGTAATTTGATTTAGTGTTCTATGTATCACATTGTATATGAAAGACGGACACAATGACAAGACTGTCAGAGAGTGTTCAGGAAGCCACCAGCGTGGAGGGGAGAACATAGAAGAAACTCTCACCGCCTCTGAAGGAGCCAACCTGCTGGCACCTTGGTCTTGGGCTTCTAGCCTCCAGATAGCTGAGGAAATCTATTTCTGTTGTTTAAGCCACCTAGTGTGTGGCCCTTTTTTATGATGACTCTAGCCTGTCAGCTTTTCTACCCTGGGGCACCTGTAGTCCTGACTTCACTTGGCACGTGCTCATTCAGAGCTCAGAGTCCACAAAATTGCCTTCAGATTTATTCCAAAGAATTCATAATTATGTGTTATCAGTGTTTTGACATATTCTTCAACCCAGCACCACAGCAGTGACATCTAATAGTGTGCCCTTACCTTTTGCTGGCTTCTGTGCTTGGGGTGGCACTATAACCAGGAGGGGGTGGTGGAAACCAGGACTGTCTGTGAAAAAATGATATCAGTTATAAACATGGTGCTTGAAGGATGAGCCTACCCCTGTGTCTGTCAGAAAAAGCTTAAAATAATTCGATGGTTAAAAAGGCCATGGAATTACTTTTTACAGAAGGCCTTGGAAATAAAATGAACACTGTTTCATAAATAAAATAAGAAGTGGCTGTCTATATTCCAGGCTATCTGCTCCCCCAAGTAAACTCCTTTTCCCATTTCCTTTGACACTGAACAATGTGGATGTGTCTTGCAAAAGAAATCTGAAGAGACTGGAAAAGAACAGCAATTATCAAATGTAGATAGTAGGTTCATGGGTGTTTATTTTACTATTCCCCTATTTTTTTTCCTAGCTGAACTATTTCATAATAGAATAACAGTCTTATAGTCTACTTAAATTATGATTTCTTTTAAAAAGTATGGATAAAAAAATCTTGGACAAGAATATTGAAAACATGAAAGAATACCAGAGCAATGCTAACATCATCTTAGTTAGAAAGATGTCCTCACATTATCAGGAAGTAGTTTTAATTAGTAGCAATAGCTAAGGTCTCTGTCAAAAACACTAAGATAAGGACCAGAAACGAAGATGTACAGAGAGTGATGTGGATGAGAGAAGAAAAGCCCAAGATAAAAGGAACAGTCTGAGCTGGATTTATTCTTTAAATAAGTCCAGGACTAAGACCAGGTGGGAGTCAAGCAAGACAGATTTCAGCTCCATGCAGGGGATCGATGCCCCCTAAAGAGCAGTCAGCGGTGCTTCATAAAACAGTGAGAGTCTCTTTGCTGGCTTCAGTGGTCCTGAATCAAGTCTAATCTGTTGGAGGAAAGATACTTGCACTGGATAGAACATCGAACAAACCCATCTTAAGTTTCTCTTAATACCTTATAAATCTGTTTTTTAACAGACCAAGGGTGGAGTGGGCATGAAATTTGGGTTCAGATAAAAGATGGATCATATTTTCTGAGATTCTGCAGATACAACCAGGACTCTGTGACTATAGGGAAGATAAAGACAGTTATCTCTCTCTACAGTGACACCATGGCAAAGCCAGCTAGTCCTTCAACAAACATGGAACATCTATCCTACACCAAGCAGGGTCCTGAGTGCAGGCACAGCCAAGAAAACAGAAAAATTTTAAAGCACTGAGGCTTAGGACACTTATTTTCCATTTGCATCACGATTCCCTGGCACTGTTCATTTCAACATGCGAAAATCTCTTCCACCTTCATGCTCTGTCTCATGTAGAATATTCTGTCATCACAGATCTCTCTTCTCCATGCCTAGCAGACAACACAGAATGCACCCCAAGCAGCATGTAAAAGACCACTCAGGGGAAGCCAAGCAGGAGGCAAAAATCACAAAGAGATGTCTCCCAGGAGGGTCTTTGACTCTGTACTTAGAAGGAAAATCAGCCAAGTCTACAGAGAGGTGGGGGTGGCTACAGGTGCAGGCTGGTTTCAGGAGGACAACATCGAGTGGCTCTATGTCAAACATTATTTCAGGTTAAGGTACTCCCTGTAGTCAGACTTTATAAAATATGGTACCTGAAATAGCCAATCCTGTGACTTCTGAGGTCAAGGTCCCAAGGGAATGGAGTATTATTTGAAGAGATTAGGGAGGGCAACTAAAAGTTTGAGAATAGCAGAATGTAGATGCAGAACCCTGGAAGGAGGGGAGAGAACACGGAAGAGCCTTCCCAATGCTGCTTGGGAACTCGGGTGGTAGATTTGGTTCCAAAATTAATGAAGACAGAGATGGAGAGGTAGAGTGGAGGGATAGGTAAGGAGACAATGCAGGATGATTTTTTAAAAAAATCTTATTATGTGCATATGTAAATATACCTCAGGGAATTTCACCTTTATGTAAAAGTAAAAAGATCCAATCAAATATAAATAAATAGATAAATGAAAGGAAGTCTAACCAAGTAGAGGAAGGAGACTGGGGAAGGGGAGGCAGGACAGGAAGGCAAAGGGGAAGACCATGAACTGGAATCGAATTCCATGCATGCATGAGTTTGTCAGGATGAACCCAACTACTATGAATAACTATAAAGCTCTACTTTAGAAAATAAAGTGGATTAACAACAAGAAGAAAATTGATGAAGAACAGTCCTTTGCAAGGTGTCCGCAGGAGGCAGATACAAAGCCCCTCATACCTCTTTTTCTTCACAGGAGTAGTAGCAGGGGTAGAAGATGAGGTGTAGGTCCTGCTTGCACTCAGTAAACCACCATGTGGCCTGTGGGACAACCAGAATGACAAATCATTACATTCCTCAAACCTCTTCTTTCTTCCCACCTTTGAAATGTCTGTTAATCTACTCATATTCCAGCTCACTCTCTGTCCTCTACATAATGCTTCAATTGAAGATGGATAAGTTAAAAATTTTCTTCCCTATGGGGTCTGGGGATATGGCTCAGGTGGTAGAGTGCTTGCCTTACATGCACAAGGCCCTGGGTTCAATCCCCAGCTCTGACCAAAAAATTAAAAAAATGTTCTTCCTTACTTTATAGATCAGTTATCAGAATATCATATAACTAGTTAAAAATGAAGATTCTGAATGAAGAAGTAATTTACATATGGTATTAATTGTCTAAAAGTCAGGCCAATCAATTTTTTTTTTTCTTGGCGGCGCTGGGATTGAACCCAGGGCCTTATACATTCAAGGCAGGCACTCTACCAACTAAACTACAGCCCCAGCTCCTCAGGCCAATCAACTGTAGCATGCTATGGACTCATTTTTTTTTAAATCTCATGATTATATTGTGACTAACAGAATTATACTGCAATTTTACATTAAAAGTCTTGGTTTGATTAAGAAAAAATTTAAAGTCATATCATTTTAAATCTTCAGCTAGCATTTTAATATATGCAGACCCTCAAAAAATGGAAATTACTCAGGCTTGTGTCAAGTACTGAGAAGTACTGTCCAAAATGAAAATTAGTTTGTATATAAATACACATTTAAAAACTAAGTTTAACTGTCTACCTAATTTGAATTACTAATAACAACTAGTAATACATGACAGGGAAAAATGTATTTTATGTAAATGGATTTTTAGCAGGCCCATGATTTCAGGCTCAATTTGCTCCGAAGGAGGAGTTGTAGATGTGAGGGGGTTTAGGGATGACAGGGAGGTTCAGGGGAGGAAAGAGTTGGGTGCCATAGGAATGGGGGGATAAAATAGTTCTATGGGGGAGGAGTCTAGATCTTTTGAAAAAGACAAAGACATAGCCTAAACTTTGGTGTTTGGTTAGCATGATGGTCAACAAACTTGTTCAGTAAAAGTCCAGCCAGTAAATATGTGAATGTGGACCATTTTGGTATCTGTGTTCCACCACTACCTCTGCCAAAGCCACAGAGTTGTGGCTGTATTCCAATGACACTTTGGCCTGGGGTTGGGACGCTATACCCTGGGTTTTTCTTGAACTAAAATAATACTTTGATTAGAAAAATACATACTAGTTGGGGAATGTAGCGCAGTATAGTGGTAGAGCATTTGCCTAACATATATGAGGCCCTGAGTTCCATCTCTAGCGCATGTGCGCGCGCGCGCGCGCACACACACACACACACACACACACACACACACACACACACACACACGAGGAAAGAGAAAAATACATACAATGTGTTTGTTCCTGATGATCTAAATGGAGACAAGCTTCTGATAAAAGAGAAAAAAAACCACAGTGAATAATTAATTAATATTTGCATCTATTGGTAATTGTCCACAAATTTAGAGTAATTATAATGAAAAATTAGATATTATTTCAGAGAAATTAAAAGAAAGCATCAGCATTGGAATAAATTTGATAAAGTGATTTTATCATTTAAAAAAATCTGTTGTACTAGATTTCAAGGGAAAATTTCCCCCCTTTGGAAAATTCAGTATTGGTTAAATCCAATGTTCTTAATATGTTGGGTTCAGTGATTTTTTCTTTAGTATAAGAATGCAAAATTTGCTTTTGCATGTATTTCATCCCTGTCACCAGGACACCTTAAACAGTAACATCCATGTGGTAAGATCGATGGCCTGTAGCAATAAGCCTTGATTTTTTAAGCCAGGCAACATTTTATTCTAGTTAAGAACAGGAGAAAAGTTTTTTACTCCAGAAATTCTGTGTTAAAAATACAGAGAATAAGAATTTACAGAAAGACATTAAAGTACGATTGAAGAACTTAGGTAAGTGAGAAAAAAAGGTTTCACTCAAGACTTTCCCAAAGTTAGTGGACACTGGTACCTATTGGTTAGTTGGTTATCCAAGGTATTGGCCTTATATGTTTTAGCAGCATCATCTCTGTCTGAGATCCTTTATAAAGAAACAACACAAAAGTCTAGATAAATATTCAGGTTATTAAGTTCCATTCAGACCTCTTTGATGTTAGAGTGACTTTACAACATAACCTTTCTCTTGTGAAGAACAATTTTTCAGTTGTTACATTTTAGAATTTTTTACAGTAAAAAAGCAAAAAGCTACTCATGACAAAATCTACTTATGAGGCTATTTAGAATGTTTAAAGTATGATGCCTTTTGCACATTTTCTTTTCGGACTCATTAAGCATTTAACTCATTAATTATTTTTATTTTCTTTGCTATTTAATAATATATCTAGTTAATAAAAATACTTCTTATGTCAGTAAAAGGCATCAATGAAATACTTAAGTATTTTTTAAAATCATTTTGAGGCATAGAAAATACTCTGTGTTTGCCAGACTCATTTTCTTTACCTCCTGAATGCACAGGAGGACCACATTTACCAACTTTAATTGCAATTAAGTTGGAGCCACTAGTGTGGGCACAAATATTATTTGCCACCTCCAAACCCATCATAAAATCTCCTGCATAATTTTTCATGCTAATTCTTTTCCTTTCAAAGCCATGGTATCCATGGGTTGAAGATGGCAGCATTAAAACACTGTAGGAATTGAAAGAATTCAATGAAAGAAGTCCAGAAGTCACTGCATGGATTCAGCAAAGCCCATCAGACTCTGGTGAGTCAAATGATACCTTCTATTGTGTTAAACCACCTATATTTGGGGATGGGGGGCTTGTTAAAATAGTTACTCTATCTTGACAAGATAATTACTTTGACCAATATATCAGAGGTTTTAACTCCTGTAATCTTAGGTCTCCTTAAAGACCTTCTTAGATCTGGAAAAGGTATATTTGTCTACCCCTTGGGTGAGGAAGCACAAATCTGGAATCTCCTGACTACAGACTCTGTTCCATCCTTGCCTGCCTCATGTCAGATAGGAACATTCCTTCTAGGACCCAGGGCTGAGTTCTGGAACATTCTGCAGATCTGCAGAAACTAGGATATAGCAAAGTGTGGTTCAGAAAAATTAAAGGTCAGCAAGATTCTTCCATTTATCCTACATTCTGGGCCTACTATAACTCTCCAAAAACTTTTGTTCTTATTATCCACTCTAGGACAAGACTTTATATAAAATATTCCTGCTAAAATGGATAATGATTTCGCCTCTCTCTAAAAGATAAGGTCATATGCGAAAAAATACAACTTCATTGTCATAAGTTAAAGATAATATCAATTTATTTTGACATACCTAATTATATTTTGGGGCAATTACTCTAATATAATAAACTTCTGAGTCCACCTGAACACAGTGTCTGTTTGGGATACATAACACCACAAGCTGATAACTCTTGAATGCAAAAAGGAAAGATGAATAACTAGCTGTAACACTCCAAAGCACCACAGTCTCCACAGACTGTTAATAATACAGTCAGTAACTTACACAGAATCCTAGACTCAGGTACAAAAACTCATGTCTTCGGTGATCTTCGAGCCAAAGTCAGGGACCATTTCCCTGCACTAATTGAAGACTCTGAACTTCTGAGAGATTTAGATTTCAAGTGCTTTGCAGTAAATCACCATGCATACCACAAGTGAGAGGTCAGGTGATTAGAATTCTTAGAGGTTCCATGGGAACGAACCTCTACTCAGACTTTGCAGCTGTCTCTGTGATCCCAATAAAAGTTAAAAAAAAATAATCTCAGGAAATTGCTACACGGAAAACAATAATCTGCTGAAAGTGAATGGAACCTTAATTTTAAATGTTCTCAAGGTGTATTCTGATGTTAAAATTAAATGAACTTAATGAAAATTCCACATGTAAATCTGTGTGGGCAATCCTACATGTAATCATAAAAATAACTACCTACTCTCTGCTGACCTTTTCATAAATTTTTCTGCTCTTCAGAGAATAGAGTTACCCCTGCAAAGTAGGGGTGATTATTTTCATTTTATAGATGAAGAAACAGAGTCTCAGAGAAGTTGGGTGACTTTTTCTTGGCCATACGACTAGGAAGCAGTCTGTCTCCAAACTCTTCTCACTGGAGCCCAATATTGTACATCTCATTCAGACAGGATGACTGTCCCTAAAACTCATATAAGATTACCACATCTTCATTATTCTTCATTTATCACAGTCTCTTCCATGCCACTAGGGGGAGAAGTGATCAAGAGTAATGGAGGGAGGTGGATCGTGGCTCACTAGCAGAGCGCTTGCCACGCACACGTGAGGCCCTGGATTTGATCCTCAGCATCATATAAAAATAACTAAACAAAATAAAGATATTGTGTCCGTCTATAATTTTTAAAAAAGAGTAATGGAGAGACCTCTCAAGTACCATTCTAACATATGTCAACTTCTTATTGCTGAGAGAGATTAACTTTCTATTTCTTCTGGAAGTTGATCTTTTGCCAACTTGTGGTATGAAATAGGTTATTTTAATAGGAATGGGTCTGGGAGACAGAAAATAAACAATAGAATTAGCAATATGATCAAGAGCTTAAAAAAATCCTCCACAAAGGAACACTAGGGGGCTCCCTAACCTTGGGTTTCCAAATTAGTCATTAAATCACCTTCAGGATTTGGACAATATCTTAGTGCTACATCCACTATTATTTACTTATGTTTCTTTAGCATATTCCATGTATGTACCCATACATATGCATATTTAAAGAAATATGTATCATATATGCAATATATGCCAATGTAAAAGGAAATTCTTGGAAGTCTAAACTCAATATTTTTTGTATTCATTAAAATTAATAATCATTAATAAAATGCACTTGCATACATACTGCATATATATATGATCAAATTCCTCCTGAAATATTTCACATCTTGCATTTTGGAGCGGGCTGCATGATGTAAGTCTCACTTCTGCTAACAGAACTTGTCTTTCTTTATTGACCCTGTGTTCTCTTCCTCCTATTTCCATACTTACTGCCTTAAAAATAAGCTAACCCGGATACTTCTTCCAAATGTGTTACTAAATCTTTGTGTAAATAAATTATCACATAATCTCTAGTCCCACTTGCTAGCATATAAAATGAAGAGTCTGGGCTCCACTGGTGTTTCTGAATCTTGGTTGCACATTAGAATCAGTTGGAAATGAATCAGGTTAATTAAAAGAATTTGGGGAACGAGGGCAGTAAGACCAAGTAAAGTTTAAAAGTTCCCTTGGTGTTGGTAATTTGCTGCCAAGGCCCAGAATGATTCAATTAGTTTGCCTGGGAGATCTAATTCATTGCAATCCCTATCTTTACTCACAAAGTTGAGGTCTGGATCTTGACCTGACCTTTCTGATATGAAGACTACAAAAGCATGGATCTTCTACGTATCTACCTTTACTGAGGCTTAATCACCATATTTTAAAAATTCATCCCTAGAAAGACGGTTTCCTGCTTCAATTAACTGGGCAATAGGACAATCCAAAAGGCTAGGGTGAATAAACAAAGGTATTTTCTCTACCTCTTCTCTGTACACTGTTCTGCAGATAAATCTTGAACATATACTTTTATGAGGTTATTTTTGACGAGTCTAATAATTAAAAGAAGAGAGAGGCCAACTCTTTAGGATACCAGTGATGATATTAGGATTCCTCTATTAGGAGGACTGACTTGAAAGTCTATGAATAATATAAAAATATACACATTTGCTGTATTAATATGGACTGGCATAGTCTGAATTCCAAGTACTAGTTGCTGCAAGTTTCAGTATATCTGCTTAAAACCCAGGACATGTCATTTTTTCTGCAATGGTAGCACATCTTTAGCTACAGGGAGTGAGCTCAACTGTCACCAGCCTCAGGTGTACATTATGCCTAACTCGTGTTAAAGATGCTAAAGTTGACCTTCACTTCTGCTTGTTAAGCATCTCTACCAACTTCAAATGAAAAATATGACTTGTGGAATTTACACTTCAACCTGGTTAGAAGTTTCTTAATGTCCTATATAGGACCAGCCTTTCTTTTCTATGTAAGAGGGAACGAACAATGTAATGGTCTCATTCTGTGAGCCATATGGTGACTCTGGAAAGAGTTAATGTCTGTCATAGAGTGGATCAAAACTACTGTAGTTTTAAAACTGACATCTCTCCAGCAGGATGGAAGAACCCAACATAGGAACAAGGACTATTTGTAATTATAGAAATAACTATTCTTTATTTTAAATTGAATTAACAGATGCCATATCTTGTCCACCCCACTTATACTCAAGTCAGAATCTTTCAGAAGAATCTACTATTTCCTAAAATCTAGGGTCTCAGGAAACAATATATCTAGGCAAGATTTTGTGAGTTTTGGAGAAGATAATTTAATCCTTAGAGCCCTGTCTCCCTGAAGATAAAACATCAGAGGTTCAAAGCTTACTTTGGCAAACATTGTAATATCTCACAGATTTCTAAGAAGTGGGATTTATTATGTTAACAAGTATTAAATGTAAAGCACGTATAAATGTTTTCCCCTCACGTGATTCAAAAGTACCTTACCTGTCCAAAGTGTCATCGGATCTGTACCGACTAATTGTGGCTTTTGGCCCATCTCTCTCATTTATTTTCCTGTAACAGAAATAATTACCAAATAAATTAGATAAATTACCAAAAAAAGAGCATATAAAACCTGTCATACTTTTGGCAATAGTTTTACCTACTTGGGTAGGAAAAGTACAAGTTGTCAAAGGAAAGGCCGATTTGGAGTACCCAAATCTTCTAGGCTTTGGCTTGGATAAAATAATAATAATAAAAGGTTCTCTTGTGGCTCAAGTTATTTTTAACTACAGTGTAACATAATCAAGTTGTGGACAAGGATATGTACAACAAACAACAAAGCATGCAGAATGGTTAATAACTAATATGAACTCTTGTCAAGTTGTCAATCTCTGCATAATAGGAAATCAACTCCTTTATAGTCAGCTGTGTTTTGTTTGCAGGGTTCTAACAGTGCTCTATGCCCACACAATGGGCTAACTCCTAAATTGCCGTATTTAACATTCAGCACCGTGGACAGAGTTGAAAGAGGATAACTCACTGGCAGCTGGAAAGGAGATGGGGAAGAAGGAAAAGATGGAAACATGCAGGGCCAAAAAGGAAAAAAATAGAAAGAAGAAAGTGAGAGATGAGAGAAAGGAGAGAAGAGAAGAGTTATTCGGAGAAGGAGAGGAGGCAAGAAGAGAAAAAGATACACAAGCAGGAAAAAATGGGGAAGGGAGACAAGAAAATAGAGGCAGAGAGGACAGCAGCCTTAACAATAGGAATCATTGTTTTCAGAGGAAAGCACTGAAAATATTTTGATCTAATTGATCAAACAGAGAGAAAGTCTGTTTACTGCCTCATCTAGCCTGTGATGCAGGGAAAGCAAGCTCTTTGAGGAATTATGCCGTGATTTATTGCATTTACATTTCAAATCATCATTTGAAGCCGATAGATCAAAGATATGGAGTCAGAATAAGTACTAAGACTGGTTCAGCACACCAATGTAATTCAAAATAGAAAGTAAACACAGAAAGCACAAGGCTCCTGTTCTCCCAAAACACACTGTGTATACCCTGAGAATAGGAAACTTAGTTTTCACTGTCACATCCCAAGTGTCATATTCTTTCATAATTATAGAGAAACTTAATAAAATGGAGGGAGAAATTTCCACTGGTGGCCAACCTCCCTGTGTCTGATGAGATGAGGGTCAACTGAGAACCAGGCTGACATCTTCAATATGAGGAAGCCTAATGAGAAGGCACAGGTAGAGACTCTGCCAGACCACGGAAGGGTAAATCAGATGGCACCAGGAAAGCAAAATGGCTACTTTGAATAGAGAGTTGTAAGTTGTGCACCTTTAGGAAAGGTCAAAATGATGAAAAGGTTAGAAATGGTTGGGAAAAATTCACAGATAAAAAGTTTCGAATACAGATTCAAGGTGTCTACTTCACTTTCTACAGTCCACACTCTTTACTAAGTACCTCTCAGTTGCAAGCAAACACTAGACCAGATGGAACTTGATTCTGATATATATTTGGCTTCTTCTGACAGGTGTGGTTGTTTATATGTGTGTGGGTACAAATGTGTTTTAATGAGAATATTATCTTTCTTGATCAATTTAAGACTGTTTACATCAATCATTATAATTACTAATTTTGTTTGGATTTTCTCACTTGCCATCAAGGATAGGTTAGTGTTTTCCACAAGCTTAGGAGTTTCCAAAAAGAAATGGACTGTCTCTCTGGAAATGTTATTTCTGAATTGTAGGATTCCGTTCTCTAAAGCTCAGAGATAGCTCATCTGGTTATGTTTCTAGTTCCATGATAGCCCTTTCCCTGCCCATGAGAAGGACCATCCTAGTGGCATGGGCTGTGGCTGATTATGTTTCAGCTCTAACCCTTAGTTCTGGGAGCCGGGTAAGCAGGTCCCCACCCATACCCCTGATGATATCCCAGATTCTCCTTCCCATGCCTGGAATACTGGGGCCAGCCTGAGGCCAGCCACAGATATTCTGCTGACTGAGCAAGTCTCATCTCAGAGCCACCATCTTTGTGTTTCTGCTGATAACATACCTTATCAAAACACCTACCTGTCCAAGGCATCATGGGAGTTGTGTCGGTTGAGCACCACCCTGCCATAGTTTTCATCTCTGCAGAGAAAGACCAAAATGATGTCACATCACAAGTTACCACCGTGTTTGCTGAGCACAAAACAAGAGAGATGGGGAGAGCTCACAAATCTTGGCAAGGTTAATCCATTTTACTTTAGGCATAAGAACACAACTGTGAAACCAGTCACTGCTTGCAGGAGCATCCTGAAAAGAAACAAGTTGTCATTACAAATTATCATTTATCTCATGAGACTTCCACATGATTCAACAAGGAACAACTGTTTTGTTGTTGTTATTTTTTTGTTTTTAAATAGAGTATGGAAACACGAGCCCACCTACGTTGTATATATAAGAAGAGTCCTTTTCCGTAGGATGGCAAATACAAAAGATTCCTACCAATGTTGTTTAAATTTAATTAACCCCTTGATGTCTGGATAATTGATGGACTTGAAAATTTCCTTGACACAAGTGTAGGAAAACATGTTGCTAAGGAGACTGAGCATTCATAGGAGATTTAGCCCATCTTGAACCATGAGCCCATATTGCCCTCTTTGGTCCTTAAAATAACCCTCTGAATTAGTCAGGGAAGACACTGTCCTTTCCAATTCACTGAAGAGTAAACTGATCAGGGATTTTGTAGCTTTCCTAAAATCACAAGATTAGTAAAGTGACAAGGTGGGTCTAGGACCCAGATCTTTTCATTCCAAACCTTTGTTTTTTTTCTTCTGGTGAGCTCTGCAAGGAACCTTTATACATAAAATCTCAAAGCCATGTCATGATACTTTACTCAGTGCATTTGAATGTATGGGCAATTTTAGGAAATGTCAAAACATGTAGTGGAGCTCTTGGAGTGGAGCCAAAGCAGAGAGTAAGTACCTGAACCTCTTTCATGTCAACCCACCCAAACAGGAAACACTACCTTTTTCCTGATTCAGCTCCACTAACATTACTCAACACTCTGGAACCATTTTTAATAATGCTATAAGAGAACTGTGGTAGACAATTAAAAAGAAAGATGAGCGCTGAAACTGAACAATCCTAGCAAATATAAACCCTCATAGGTCCCAAGGGGGACGTTTCTATCTTCCTTTGTATCCCTTTCCAAAACCTGTCAGAGCGAAGCAGACACCAGGCGTGTTCTTACCTGAAAAAGAATCACAGCCCAGGACCCGGCCAGTGGCAGCCAGGGAGGCACTGGGGCCAGATTCCCTTTCACTCAGCAGCTGCCATCCCATTTCCAGCTGGCTTCCCTTTTTAGGGAGGTTTGCCTGGCATGAAACCAACATTCCTACCAACTGCGGTTTATCTTAGACATCTCTGTCTTCATCCATCTGTGTAAATATTTGCAATCCAAAATTTATTATCTACCCTTGACATCACACTGCCACGACAGAAAAACAGAAATGCCATATTAAGCTCTGACAGAAGCAATAGGTGCTGCTTTGTGGAAGGGAATAATTGTTGTCCAAGAGTATTAACCCCAAAGTGAATCTGTCTCCACAAGCCCCTATATGTTCTCGAAACCATAAAATTCAGTAACAACAATCAGTAGGTATTTTAATGTCACAGTTGCAAATATGATCCTCAAATAAACACATTTGGACAGTTTGTAGAAGGTTTGGAGTACATATTATATAATGCTGGGTTTTTCAGATTCAGGTTTGACAATGATGTGATTGTGGAAGCTGTCCTGTGCATCATAGGATCTTTAACAACCTTCTTGGCCTCTACTCACCCCAATTGGGGTGTAAAGAACACACCCCAATTTTGACAATCAAAAGTTATCTCCTAACATAGCCCAATGTCTCCAGGGGGTAAAATCACCCGTGTTTGAGAAACACAGGTATAATGAAAAGACAATGGGTCACGTTAAAATCTCCACTCCGCCACTTAATGATGATGCCCCATCAGACAAATTATGGGGCTTCTTCTCACCAGAGATTTCTCTCCTATAAAATGAGTATATAATATCTACCTTGAGAGATTGTTGTGAGATTCAGTGATGCTCAATCTGTCAATTATCCACTATGAAGCTTAACACATAAGGAAATGATAAGATGTGTACATGTGTATGGGTAATTTATAATGTGCCACTAATTTATAAAAAAAAAGATCTGGGATGGATGCGTGTCTATTATAAATCTGTATTGGCAACGAGGCTCTATGCCTATGATTATAGTTTCCAGATCTTTGGCAGAAGCAATGCTTAAAGCAGATGAAACTTTGCAGGTGGCAAGTGTTTTCTCTTATAAAATAAAGCCACATTTTCCATCCATTCAATATCTAGAAGTGGGGCAGATAGGACTAAAATAATTGGGGATTTATTAACTAATTTCAGTTGTGTACATAGAAAATTGCAATACATTATTATTGGATTTGGAATAAGGCTACCATGTGTTTGTTTCCACCGGCTCCACCAACACACACGAGGAATCTCATGATGATGGATTAACTGTTAGCTTTTTGGAAACCGGAAACTCCTGTTTTCTTTTGTTCACCAAGGAAACACCAAAATCTATTCCAGGTGACAATCATGCTCTCTCTGAGGAGTGTCTCACATTCTCTTATGTGTAAGTGTATTAAAAATGAAGGAGATATTCTTGAAAATCTGGTACCACCGATTTATGTTTCCTAAATCTCACCCCAAATCAGAGCATGTGTTTTAAAGAAAACTGGCTTTCCAGATGACCCCTTAGTCCCAAACAGAGAACACCTCTTTCCGCTCATCTGTCCACCTACCCACTCCTACATCCCTACACTTACTTTTCTTCTTCCAGACGTTTCTTTATCCAGCTGCTGTCCTGTAAGAAAGTCCTTCTTTTGTTCATCTCATGAAAGCCCTGCTGCCTCGGTGTGGTCCCCCCAGTGGTGCTCTTCACATCTATCAGTGGAAACATGAAAAATTAGGTGACAGAGTGAGGCTGAGTATTGGTTTGTTTACTCTGAAAATCTCAAGAAGCCCACGTGATCAGCCAGCATTACTTTCTAAGCTGGTAAGTCCAGTACTTGTTTCAAAGCAGGATTCCCCAGCAAGAAAGAACAAATCCCACACCCCATCATCAAAGATAACATATAAATCTGCTCAGGTGCCAAGCGAAACTGCCAGAGCAGCTCACGAGGCCTCATCCAGCGCCTGGGAATGTAGAACCACCAGCCAGGAATAAACCAAGCCAGGGCTTAGTGGGTTGGGTTTTGACCCAACAAGAAATACGTCTCCGAAGTACACCCAAGACTGTTGTTATAGGACTCAGTAAATTAAAATCCATAAGTCCTGGTGCATTTGATTACATGTAATTTGATTATTTGAACTTCTGGGAACCAGAAGAAATGTCACCCTCAAAGAAGGACATTTTTTTAAAAGAATCTTTAAATTACAATTATATGATGAAAAACTATAGCACCTGTTCTTTTTTATATGTATATATTTTTAGTTGTATATATACAAATCTAAATATACATTTTTGTATATATACAAAAATATACATATTCTTATATGTATATACTTTTTATTATGATGGACATAATACCTTTATTTTATTTATTTATTTTTATGTGGTACTGAGGATCGAATCCAGTGCCTCACACGAGCTAAGCAAGTGCTCTATCATTGAGCTACAGCCTCAGCGCCCTCTTGCTTGTTCTTAAGCTTAAATTCAGCAAAGCTGATTCGACTGCTACTTCCAAGCATTGAATACCTATATTTAAAACCATGAGTTGTTTTTCCTAGATTTTAGAGTTTTTGTTGAGCAAAGGAAACATTGTCTAAATTACCATTTCCTGTGGGTGACTTTTTTCTCATGGGAAAATCAGACATGATGCCTTCCAGTAAGGATCTAAAAGAAAAATGGGAATGTGAGAAAGCACAGCAATGACATTAATAATCTGTGAGTATTTCATTACTAAGCCATATTTTTCAATGACAAAGCTACATGATATAGTACAATCCATACATTACATAAAGTACCCTGTAAGGACCTGAGAATTCATCTATTCCAATTAACTTATTTTACAAATAGAGAAAATGAGGCCCGGGATGTTTAGTGTCCCCAATATTGTATGACAAGCAGTTGGTTGAATCATCTTCATTTTCTGAGAGCTGAACGGTCTTAGAGGAGTTGGAAGGATCTGCATTTAAATGATCCTATTTTCTGACTGTGTCACCTTGGGAATATTATTAGCTCAGTCCTTCATCTAAACAATGAAGTGAAATAGAACTATTATGAGGACCAAGTGGAGACATATGTAAAGTACCTAGTTATTGCCCAATAATTGCACCTAGTAGGTGCTCAATAATTCTTAACTGCATGCCTCTCTCACCTTGGAAAGCAGAAAGCAAAAATGTGAGAGAGAGGGTTGGGAGTGGGAAGGCAAGGAACAGACTTGAACTTGGGCATATAGACATGTAAGGGGTGTGGGGTGGCCCTGGCTGGGTTTGGAGGTTGATGAGACCTTGGCAGGAAGGGGAGGTAAAGAGGCAGCTGAAGACCAACACGCTTTAACTATTGGTGAATTTTGCCTCAGTCTGAGTCTGCTTCTTGACCTACCTGTTTCCGGCTGTTAATGGGCTCTGATAAATTCTATTCCTCTTAGCTGATGAAGACCTAGAACATTCTCAGAGGTTTGAACTAGAATTCTGAGGCAACCAGAATGTCGACTGTATATTGGATGATAAATTTGCAGAGACTGCAAATCCAATCGTGGGACAGGGGCCAGGGTATTTGGAGAAAAAGCGTTTTACAATTACCCCTTATTTGTCTGTCTCTCCTAAGAGACCAGGTTTTCAGTGGGCAGGATCTAAGTCTCTTCTGTTCCCAGTGTCTGACAATGGAGGAGCTGACTAAGTGATTTTTATTGGCTGAACAGCATCCTCCAAAATTCATGTATCAAAATCTAAAAACCTTAAAATGTGATTGTATTTGGAAATAGTGTCTTTAAAGAAGTAAGTTAGAATGAGGCCCTTGGGGTGGACGCTAATGCAATCTGACTGATGACTTTATAAGAATAATAATTTGGACACAGGAAGAGACATCAGAGGAAAGGTCAGGTGAGGGCCCAGCAAGAACCAGCCATCTGAAACCCCAGGGAAAAAAATCTTGGTGGAACCAAACCTACTGACAACTTGATCTTGGATTTATAGGCTCCAGAACTGTTAGACAAATTTCTGTTATTTGAGTCATCCAGTCAATGTGTGGTATTTTGTTATAGCAGCTCTTGCAAACTCATACAGTCCTTATGGAAATGTGATTTAAACATATCTGAAATAGCAAAATTTCTCACAGAGCTCTGTGCTATATTGTCCCTTTCCTTTGTTTCTTCAGTTGTCCTATTCACAAGGCAATTATTAATAGCATAAATATCTGTTTGTTGAGTTCCTGCTTTGAATAGGGCCCCTCACAGGCATCGTCTCTCATTTTCACATGAACTCTGTGACCTCACTATTATGACCTCCAACTCCCAAACAAAACATCTGAAGGTCAGGGACAGTATGTAACTTGCTCAAGGTGCTAAAAGGCAGTTAGGTTTCTAAACCAAAGCCAACCCTTATCTCAGCAAGCAGCAATAGTGCTCATCATGAGTCACTTCAAGACTAAACGGGTACCCAGGTATTAGAGAGATAATAAACATCAGGGTCCTGCCTGACCTTTGATATCTCACTCCTTGGAAGTGCTATAAACTTTGACCCTGTTGCATGGCACCAGGAGACTCAGGGTAGTCACTCAAGGAATCACTGCAGCAGAAAAATCCTCCAGAACAACTTTCTTTGTATTTTACCTTGATTATAAATATTTCCACACAAAAACTTGTACATGAATAATCACAGCAGTATTATTAGCAGTAGCCCCAAAGTGGAAATAATCCAAATGCCTATCACGTGATGAATGAATACAAAATTTGGTAAAGCCACACAATTGAATATTACTCAGCAATAAAAAAGGAATGTAGTACTGACTCAAAGAGGACATGGATGAAGCTTGAAACATTAGGCTAAATGAAAGATACCAGACACAGAAGATGGCATGTCATATGATTCTACTTTTATGAAGTATACAGCATAGTCACATTCATATAAAGAAAGTAGGTTGGTGTTTGTCAAGGGTTAGTGGAAGGGGAGAATGGAGAATGACTGTTAATGGTAGGTTTCTTTGGGGGGTAAAAATGTAGAGCAAACAGGTTAGAGGATGCAGGAGAGGAGGGAAAGGGGAGGCACTGAGGAATGAGACTGATCAAATTATATTTTATGCATGTATGAATATGGCATAATGAATCCCACTATTATGTTTAATTATAATATACCATTAAAAGTTAATGAAAATTTTTTTCTGGAATTAATGATGTTGGTTCTACAACCTTGTGAATAAATTTTTTACAACACTGAATTTTATACACTGAAGGGTGAATTTTTTTTTAAAGAGAGAGTGAGAGTGAGAGAGAGAGAGAGAGAGAGAGAGAGAGAGAGAGAGAGAG